GACAGTGTGGAGGTCTTCTGGCATTTTGAGTCTGTCATTCTGGTTAAGGTTATCCTTGATCCATTCTGGACCCAGTGGTAGCTTTATATGGAACTTACGTTTTAGATCTCTGATAAGATCATTAGCTTCTTCTTGGTCTGTTATTGGGAGAATAATGGCATTGTTTTCGCTGTACCAGTGGGGTGGAGGAAGAGGTCATCTAACCTTGATATAGTCGAGTGGCAGACACTTTACTGCGTAGTTGTTGTCTCTTAGCAGTTTAACACTCTTTTTAAAGTCTTCTATACTGTTGTCAACTGGAAATTGTTTTGCCAAGTGAAGTGGAGGTCTTTGTATAATAGGGGTAGTGTCATTTTTGATGAGGGTAGTTTGAAGTAAGTTTCAGGTAATTTGCTTGATACATAGTAGTGTTCCCTGAGTTGGTCCACCCTAAGTTTAAGATCAACCAGTTCTTGTCTACTAGTGAGAGAAAAAATGTTGTGAAATTCTGGTTTAAGATCTTGGGGATAGTTAGGAAGTTCAGGTTTTTTAATAAAGTATGCTGATGAAAGGATGTCAAAGTTATAGAAGGCTCTCAAGCTGCCTACTATTTCGCTAACTTCCTTGGTTTAGAGCAGAGGAATAACTTTAGGTAGTCTGACTTTGATTGAGAATAGAATATTTTCAGGATTTTCTGGAAGGTCTGGCAGATTTTTTTTAATTTGCTCCTCGCAAATGTTATAGATCTCGTAATAGTCGACTTTTGGAAGGATAGGGTCGATAAAAAAGTTTAGTCCATACTCTAGCAATTGGGCGACTTGCCAGAATTTGAAAAGGAACAGGTCAGTGAATTTGAGGTATGCGACGAACAGTACTTTGTTGATTATTGTTCTGATCTTTTTCCTTGTGGCCCTTGATATGTATCCTATGTTATTTGACTTTAGGTAATTTGTGTGAAATTTCTTCTCAATCTTTTCATATTCTGTTTGATGTTGTCCTTTAATTATTTTATCTTTTGCAAAAGTTTTGAAGAAATCGTGATCCCAGTGTTTAATTTTTGCAAATATTCCTTTAAGAGATGTTTTTGATTGGCTCATGAGTTCACTTCTGATTTTTAGGAAAAAGCTCACGATGGATTTGGCAGAATGTTCACATTGGTTGAGCTCCTTACATAGTTCAATTAGTTTCTTTTGTCCAGAAGGGGGTATGTTTTCTGTAATTTCTGTCATGGATTAATAAAAGCTTTCCTGGATTGATTCGAGCATCTGATTGATTTTATCAGCCCATGAATTTGGAAGTGATTCTACAGTTGCGATTGATTGGCTAGAAGAAGGATGGTCATCAATTTCCATACTTGTAGTAGGCAATTGAACTGTGTATGCAGTTGTTTGGGTATGGGTGTTGTTGTTTGTGGTTTCATGCGAAATTGATTGGTTATTGGTTGCACATGCATGAGAGCTGGCATGATTGTTATCGTGTTCAGGGGGGTTGCATATTGTGTTTTGTCCATACAATCAAGCTGCATGGTATTGTTATTGATTCTTTTTCCAGTAACTGCTGGAGTGTTTGGAGGGGATATAAGCATTTCAGTTTTTTGTTCCAAGGTGAAAGTTTTTGCTAGTTCGTCAACGTCAATGTTAAGTTTGTCCCAGGAGATGTGTAGATTATAATAAAGTTTTTGCTTCATCATTTCTTTCAGAATACTTGTTCGGTCTTTGTTCGAGAGTAAGAATGCATGTTAATAGTTGAAGAAAGTGTTTAGGTCATTCAAGGGCATTGGGTTTGGAAGTGTTATTTTGACTTTAGTGTAGTGGTTTCCCAATCTTTTTTTCTGGATTTCAAAAGATACTGAAATAACTTTGTAGGTTTCTTGGTTTTTTTCCTGAACTCAAACTGGTGTAAGTCATACTTTTGGAGGATTTGTGAGTTTGGAAAGTCTGGTAGTGGAGACTGGGTGGGTGGTATAGATAATGTTGGTGTTAACATTTTTGTGAATAATGACTACAAGACATTTGTTTATGTCATTGATTAGAATATCGAGAAGGATATATAAAGGTTCATTTGTTTGACTCTTGGAGGATATAGAGGACTTTCCAGGGTCTTTAGAATTTTTATTTTGTGAGAAAATTTTTGTTTCCTAATTTGGTTGTTTTTTTGTTAAATGTGAGTGGATCAGGAGAGAGTTTTTGTATATTGTATTCCATTATTCTAATTAAAATTATATTATTAGATAAAAATTAAAAAAAAAACTATAAAAAAACAAAAACTAAAAACTTGAACTTGAAAAAAACCTGAAAACAAAAAAAAAAGTGAAAAAAATTCTGAATTTCAAAAACAAAACAAATTCTAAATTCTGAAAAAAAAACAAAAAATCAAAATTCTAAAAAAAAAAATCAAAATAATTTAAATCTTAAAAAAAAAAATCAAAAATAATTTGAATTTTTCAAAAAATAAAAAACAATTTGAAATACAAAAAAAGAATAAGAAAAAATCCAAATTGCAAATTTGAAATAAATTAAAAAATTGAATTTCAAGATAATAATAATAATAATAATAATCTTCTGAATTTCCCAAAAATATAAAAAAATTTAAATCTTTCAAATAAAACAAAAAAAAAAACAATAAATTGAAAAAAACTGAAACCTAAAAAAAATATCAAAATCCAAATACAACTCCAAAAATATTAAAACTCAAAAAAGCTTAAAATTAAACTTTATATTTTATTTCCTGTATATAAAAATTAAATCACATTATATTGAACTTTAATTTCTCAGATTTATTATAATGGACAATTATACTTTATTATTATAATAACTCCTGTGGAGTTGATATATATATTTTTTAACAATAAAAATTGGTTGGGAAAGTTTGTTAGATTAATAATAAGAAGAGTTTTTATAAATTCTATTCAAATAATTTTGTTGTTTTTTTTTAACAACAAGAAATTGGTTGAAAAAGTTTGTTAAATTGATAATAAGAAGAGTTTTTACAAATTCTATTCAACAGATTTTATTGTTATTAAGATCAAAATAGTAAATTTAAAAGAGCTGATTTCAATTCTGATAAATGACAACATGTAAAATTGTTTCTTATTACTGTATTAATAAGTATTTCATGTTTAAAAGTTAGTTATCAGTTGAGAATACTTAGAAGTGTTTGGAAATAGAAAGTTTCTTGAAGCTTGTTACTAAATAAGGATGTTTTTGAGTAGAAAATTGATTGTTGAAAAGAGTTTTTATTATTAATAAATTTTATTTAATTTTAATAATAATAAATTATATAATTATTTTTAAATAAATCATTCTATAAATTATTGATATAAAAATAAAATAATACCATTATAATCTTGCATAAGTCACGTAATCACAATTCAAAGCTTTTGTTTTTTTTTTTTTAAAAAAAATACTTATAAAAATATTATTTATGAATTAATTTCATAAAAAAAATTCTTAATTTATTATATATACAGTAATTTAATTGATATTTTTAAATAAATAAATTATTTATTTTCGTTATATTTATAATAATAATATTATTTACTCTATAAATAACTTAAATAAACTTTAAATCGTATATTATTCATCAATTTATTTTACTAATATATTAAATCAAAGTCAATAATTTTATTTGATTGTATTTTCATTAATTTATAATATGAACTTACAAAACTTAAAATTTATTGATAAAATATAATGTAATAGCTATATATAAAAATTTAATACTTATTATTTAATAGAAATATTTCAATATTGAAAAAGCGCTTCTCTATAATCGTATCGTTTCGGAAATAGAACCGAGTAATAAAAATAAAAGTATCGTTTTTGATGCCTACGATCATCAATTAATAAAACTAATTTTAGGAAATTATGTCATGTGTCAATTATCGAGAGTTGACCTATCGTTGCGTCGCGTTTTCCATTTACATGATTCTTATGTACATAAATTTAGAACTTTATGATATTTTTGCATCTATCAATCCAATCACTAACATTATCAATGGTATCTCTTGCTTGCTCCAACTCCCTTTCTAGCCACCTGACATCTGCTTCCCTGTGTTTCTTTGAGTTTTCTGATATTGATAACGTACTCAATGCAATTTTAACATTCTCGTAATGGTCGCATCTAAAAAAATAAAATTAAATAAAAATTAGGAAATTAAATGGCTTAAATACTGGACATTATGACGCAAAATAATTATTAAAAAATCAAAACCTCAGTTCTTCCTTCAGATCAAAACATTCTTCAGCCTTATCGTCACCCGAATCTGAAAATTTTTCGATCGCTTTACTTAATTTGTTCTTTATTTTATCCATTTTGTCTCGTATTTGAATCAGTTCCACAATCATGTCTACTGTATGAACTCTTAAACAAATGTTATATTTGTATACGGCAACTTTCCCTTTTTCTTTTTCCATATCTTGGCAAAACCTAATCATATTATTGTAAGTTTCATGTTCGATCGGATCGCGGTGAGACTTATAATACTTTTCTCGATCCTTTGTCTTTCGGAACCAGGTTTGAATCCTTCTAGCTGCTTCTTGAGCTCGAGGAGATTCATAAATTTGACGGATCCAGGAATTAATCTCAACGGCCGGCTCTTGATCATCCTCACCATCATTATCATCGTTGTTGTCGTCATCATTATCGTTAATGAATGCAATAGGTGCTAAGGTGAGATTTTTCTCGCTTTCCGGGATAACAGTCTCGGGCTTATTTCTAGTGATTTCTAACGCCATTACTTTTTGAAGAGAAGAGCGAAATTCATCAACAGAACTATATGATATTCTCGATATTCCAAATTTCTCCCATTCGGCAAATTTTGATTTTCCTCCCCAGTTGTAGTGGAGGATGAGAAGAGAGTCGCAGCCATTCTTTTTGAGATCATTGTTCAGGATTTCCGCAAGTTTATAATTTCTACTCTCATTTAGATATTTTTTGAACTTCATCGAGAGAAGTTGGTCAGATAGACTTTTAAAATAGTTTATGATCATAAAATTAAGTTTGGACTCATTCAGGCCGATAAGAACCAAAAGTCGTAATAGTCGGAGGATAATTTCCGGATAAAATGGTTTCTTGTAGATCAACTTATTGATGAGCGTTTTCGTTTGATGAAAGATATTTTTAAGTCCTCCAAAGTATCTGCCTTTTTCGTTATAGTGTTGTTCTGGAAGGAGTGGCGTCGCATCAAAAGAATAGAAATAATTAATCAAATATCCTTTGGGAAGGAGAAAGTCAAAATACGCAGGATGAGCAGAAAAAATCAAAGAGAGTGTGAGCTCCATAATAGATGTAAGATCACCAAGAGAATCATGAGGATCATGAGAATCATTCGCGAATATATTGACTTTTTCTAAATTGTTGACGGCATAGAAAATAAATGATTTCGCTTGTGAAATCGCGGGTAATTTTTGATTAGATTTAATAGATAAAAGGAATGTCGAAAGTTGCTTTCCAACTGATTCACAAATTTTACTCCTGTCGTTGCAGATAAAACCATTCGGACAATTATTACGATAAGGAAACCAAATTTTTGATACCTTCCAATCAAAATTTTCAACACCCCGTATGTTCTGTAATTGTATCGAAACTAATATAAACTTTAACATGTTTGCAAAGTCCTCTACATGAAAATCCCAGTTTAGCCAACACTTGTAAGTGAGATCGATAAGTCCATCATATGTACTGTCCGGAAGTTCTTGAATTGCCATATAGGTGATTTCTGGACAACTTGTGTGGGGGGATTGATAGCGAAAATGAATTTTAATCAATTTTTCAGCCCAAAATCTTTGTGGACCAAGAATTTTGTCTTGACCCTTATTAAGCAAGCCGCGAAAGCTCAACGCACTTAATTGTCGCATTACAGTATACTGGAGACATGCAAGTCCTAAACGCTTTTGCAGAATTGATGGTGATGGATTCACATGATGTTTTCTGCAACTTTTATTTAAACATTTTTTTTCATATTCGCATATTTCCGAAGCTATGTCTGAAATATTAGTACCATAACGGCTAGCCTGAGAAATGAGATCATAGATATACGGGCCAAGGAGTCGTGCAATACCCCTGTATACAACATTTGTGTCGTAAACGCGCCAATACTCGTTTATTTCAGCCAAATTATCGTCTATTAAATTAGCAAGTGGATTGTTGGAAGAAATCTTCCGCTTATTCGGGCGATCCTCCACCGTGTTTACCAAAAAAATCTCTTCAAAATTCTCGCGGTTTTTCTCAATACCTATAGCATCCCGAGAAGGGGCTATAAATGGAAATGATAATTCACACAATCTTAGCAGAAATTGCAATCGTTCATTCCAGTATTCAGCATCAATGTTTGATGGCATGGAAATCTTTAGCCACATGTTCACCGCACGAAATTCCGTTACAAGCTCTTTACTTTCCTGGAAAAACAATATTCCTTTGCGGACTTCATCAAGGTCTCCCTTCAGATAAGATGAATACAATTGGATCTCTTTTGTCAGAACCCTCCATCGCTCGAATTCCGATGAATGAGATTCGATAATATTTTTTGCTTTCGTTACAAAATTCTGCAGTTCCTTTCGAGTATTTGAGTCCTCTGGATCTTCTGTCATGTTCTTCAGTACATTTTCTCGGCATAGATGTAAAATGCACTTTAATGACTCTATAACGTCATCCTTTTCGTTTGATCGAATGAACTCATTAGAAGCCTCTTCAAATTTACCACGTGAACACAGGTCCTTTGCGGCTTCATGGAATTGACCGTTCTTCTTATAGACTTCTTGTACTTCCTCTGGCGCATGATCTCTTAGGATTTCTATTTGATCTTCCTGTGTTGGAAGAATAGAGAGTGCTTCTTCGCTTATATCTTTATTATTCTTTCGACTGTATATGTATATGAGACGAATCGTGCGATGGAATATCTTTTCGTCTATTTCTTGCCTATGCCTTGTTGAAAAAATTTGCATTACTGTTACGTACAGTACTGAATTACCGTACTACAAAATGATTTACGTACCTTTTCATAAAATCGATTGCAACATCGTATAATTTGCCGCCTCTATATGAATTTATCGCTTCGTTATACATATTTACTTTTGCAAAATAATCGCCAGCCTTGCGCCACTTTCTCGCTTTATTGTAACAATGTGCCGCGGACTCAAGCATACCCTCTCTGGCGTAAACATCCCCTGCTTCTTCATGCATGTCAGCATCCTAATTGCACGTTACAGATTCCGATTGTTAAAATCCAGAGGTACAGGTAAACTATCGTATCTGTCAAAACATCAAATTTAAAATTTACTTGATAGCACGAGGCTTCTTGCTCTACCCGAGAGCATTTCCTAAAAGCTTCAGCGGCACGAATGAATTTTAATTTTACAGTTTCGTCATCAAAATTCCTTATTGATGTTCTGGCAATTTGTCGAAGGTGATACGCATTGGCCAGTCTTCGGCGCTTCTCATCTTTACTCTTTTCGAAACAGATGATAGCCTAATGTAAAATATATATATATATATATATAATTTCTAATTGGTCAGACAGATTAAAAAACAAACGTAAATATTAGGATAGGTATTTTCACCAGTTCATATTGTTTCCTCTCAAAAAATGTCTTTCCGCGCTCGTTCCACTCTTCAGGATTGCTCTTCCTAGCTAAGGCTAGATTCGTGAGCCCTTCCGTGTTTGGGATTACGCTGACCAAATCGTGATGCTTCCAATATGTTAGAATTGGTTCACTCTGCTCTGAATTATCATCCAAAATCCAGAGTCGATGTCGAGCTCTAGTCACGGCAACATAGAGGTTTTTAAGCTCGGAGCAAATTATATTGTGCTTTTCGTTAGAAAAAATCGGGGTTCCTTTGGAGTAACCTTCTAAATCAGAGAGTATTACCCGCCACTAATTTTGTGCGTAATACAATTAGTAACCATTAATGTGTGCTTATTACCGTTCAAATATTTTACCTTTGAACGTGCGGGTGAGTCTGTGAAAAAATTATATAACAGCACGTCACAAAACTCCATGCCCTTCGCCTCGAACACTGTCAATATCAATCCAATGTTTTTGTGTAAACTTTTTACACGCTCTTTAGTTTCATCATTACGTACGATAATGACTTGCTCAGCACCAAATTCAATACTATTGGTCTCTTGATCTTCTGTGCGAAAAACGCCGGAAAGAAATGGTTCGACCTGAAATCCTACGAAAACAGTAGGTCGTGGCCCATCAATCTCGCCGCGCTCGCGTGAAAGATGATCAATAGAATCGGGAAAAAATTGCTTAATAAGATCAATCACCGAGGAGGCAAGTTGAATAATTCCATTATGGGAACGGTAGTTAACGTTCAACTCAAACAATTTAGTTTTTATACCATTATGCATATGATGATCGAGCTCCCACTTATGCATCAAGGCACGTAAGTCTTTATTGGTGTGAAAAAATATGAGGAAAAAAAAAAAAAAGAATCAGATGATACTGTATACAGTATTCCTAAAAGGTCATGTACGGTATACAGCACAGTACCTTGAAATCGAAAAGAGGATCCCCGTGCAATACATTGAGCTATATCACCGGCCATCATAATGCTTTCCGCTCCGTCAAAGATTTTCAAGATAAGTGAGAAATCCAAGATTTGGTTATCTTGACATTCGTCGATGTATAATTCGTGAATGTATGGACCGCCAAGTGCCTTTTTTTCAGCTGCACGTAATATGGCTAACGTTCTGCAAAGAAAAATTCAAGATACATTCGAAACACAAATGAATTTGATTTGTCATATTGTATTTGCTCTTACCGGTCTACCGAGTCATAATCGCCATTTAATGCCTTCATCTTCTCATATTTCTTAAATATGTCATAAATTTCGTCCCGATTATTGCAAAATGTTGGATATTTTTTTATGCTCATGGCCCGATAATCTTCCCGTGAAAGATAATCTATTTCGGTATTTGTACCCTTCAAAAAAACCCTAGAGATTTAGAGGAGGATAGGGATTTTAAGATATCCAAGTTTTTACGTGTAATCACATACCTTTATGACAGAGAATTCCGAGTAGACTAGTTCACAATCTAGTTTTTTTCTGAAGCCATCTCTAAAACGAGGCCAGTAATCTTCTTCAAAGCAATCATAGTCAACAAAATGAGTCCGCAACGCGTCGGATCTATTTAAGAAAGAGGAATTATGGTGGAATTTTTCTTCCTCACTATAATACACGTCATCATCGGCTTCATCATCAAAACTTTGTTGCGTAGTTAACTTTCGAATATCGATTCCATAAGTCCCCTGAAGCATTTCGGAAAACTTGTTGTATGTGATAAATAATGGAAAGTGATGGTCCTCTAACAAACGAAATGAGTTCGGGATATTTCCCAACTCTTTTTCCTCATCGTCCTCCTCCATCATATCCTTATCTCCCGACTCATTCTCCCCACTCTCCTCCTCCATCGCATCCTCATCTACCAAATCAATGTTGCCATCACCTTTCTTCCTTTCGTACGCCTCTATCTCGGCCTCTGACATCTCTTTTTCAACAAGGCTCGCTGACTCTCGTAACTTATAAAAATACTCCTTCACTCGACGGCATAGATTGTAACTTACTGTAATAAATATCTGCCTTTTGTGTGAACTTCCACGAAATGACGTTGATTTAGATAGTTGATTTGCCATATATGAAGCAATTTGTCTAAAAACTATGCATGTTGTCTTTCCGGTTCCTATACAGTATACAGAATTCATAACATAAATACGTAGAAATATCGAAAAGTTACTTACAGTACATACTGTACGTGACTAACTAAGATTCTAACCTGATCTTCCGACAACAATTGACGACGTTGGATTGCGTATTATCTCCTGTTCAACTTTGGAGACCTGAAAAGTGAAGTCGGCGCCACCCAGATAACAAGACTTGAATAAATTCTAAGAACAAGAGAAAGTCGATGAGTTAGTTCATTATACGTGTACTGTATACTATATATATATATATATTTACACATATTTACCTTCGAAAAGGGAACGAACTTGTTTGTCACAAGCGTCTTGTGTACTTCCAATAGCTCTTCATCATCCAGCCTGAGATCGGATGAATTGTCATAGGTGGATTTTGTTTCCTTTTCACATATGAAATGTCTTGGTAAAATAACGTCGGCCTTGTTTTCTGGGATTGTGCAATAGCGATTATGCCTGATCGTGTAACTCTGATGAATCTTCGCTAGATTTTGTAGCGTTTTATTAATTTGCTCTTTGCTCGCAGTAATAATCCAAATTATGATGAGTGGATTGTTCAAATAGTTGCGGATAGAGAAATCATAGTCGACCTGCCAGAGAATTTTCAGGTCGCCATAATCAGAAAGCTCCACTTCATAAACTGGAATATTGGAAGAAGACACGTTACATAGTAGGCCGTGTTTCTTCCACTTTCCCGATGATATTTGAATGAGCCTTTTCCCAATTGCCTCAAGATAAGACTTCTTTAACATTCTCATTACCCTAACTGAGTCTTCACTAAGAAGAATGTACCATGGTCCAAATTTATCAACCAATTCAAATGGAAGACAAAAATTGTGTTGTGGTGCCGAAGGCTCACATTCTGCCACAAACGAAGAGTACTTGTGAGGAGCGAAATAAATAAGAGCTTGCTTGTGGCAATTCCCGCATGGAAAGAAATCGATTAAACCCTAAAGAAGTTTAAATATATCAATACATCCACGTACGATTACTATTACAGTATATAGAAAAAAACTTAGAGTCGCGTATGTTTACTTTAAGTGAATTAATCTTTCGTTGTTCAAGAGTTAGCAAAAAATTACGAATCGCTGAAGATTTCTGAGGTGGTTCCATCCCCAGTGTTAGAAGGTTTTTCTTGTGTTGGGTAGATAAGAGTATAGTGTCGTTGAATTCGGCTGTGGGATTATCGATAGCTTTTTTTCGGAATTGGTATCTGCTCTCACGTTCCTCATTGTTGAGCTCGATCATCTGTTGCAAATCAGGTGGCAGAGACTTTTTCTCGAGGTATTGGACATTTCTCGCATTCTGATGGTTCTCAAAAACTTTCAGCAAATCTGTACAGGACTTGTAGACAGAGAACTCCTGAGATAGTTTTGGAGAGATTTCGTTATGTTCGTAACATTTTTCCACGAGAGCCGCAATTACATCCTCGGCCTTTAGTAGTTTTTTCCATTCAATCTGCTCAATCATGTTGAAGTCAAACAGAACGCGCTTGATGCAACGTTTACCAGGAGCTTCTGATACCAAAACCCCGAAAACGCCATCCACTTCAATAATTGCATTAAATAGACATTTGATTGTTTGAAACAATAACCCTTTTTCTTTATTATTCTTTGATATGGAAAGTCTATCGCTTTGGGCTCGCCAGAGGAGCTCAACGCAATCATTAAGTAACCTCCCAAATCCAAGAATGTCAGAATGACATAGGTTCTTTACGATAACAAAAGTTATTAAATTTGAGACAAACTTAATGAAGTTGGATAACAAATTGAGGCGTTTGGTGGTTCTTGAATATTCATCACGGAGATAAGAAATAAAAATTTGCAATATTGATAAATAAGAATCAGGATTAATATATAACAATTGCGACAACTCGGTGAGAAATTCCTCCAATTCGAATTTTGGCGCTTTGATGCATTGTTCAATAAATGTTTTTTGCATCTGCTCGTTAACATTTGGAGAGCTCGTGAGGTCTTTCAGTAACTCAATCAGAAGTCTTTCGTCCATCTTATTTTACAATGACAAATTAAAGTGTTTCGAGATCTGTTAATATATAGAGTTCTTGCAAGAATGGATTTTTTTAAACAATTTTGCGACTTATGAAGTAATTGTGCAAACGAGGTTTCCATATTTGGTTACAATTACACTTAGACTTTGATTTTATTACGGTATACGTATTTGTGTCATGTTAGATAGTGTTCATTAAAATTGCGTCATAATAAATTACCTTAGTGTGTATGATACTTTTGTAAACTAATTTGAAGATTTTTTAAAATCTGCGAATAGAAATCTACTCAACAAAATACAAGCTTTTCTCAGAGTCTAAATGGCACACTCTTTTTGTTAACGATCGCTTTCTTTTTATATTTTTCAATGTACATAGTGAGATGGTAAAATAATAGGAATAAACAAAACTTCCTAATACAGTATTATGATTCTTTGTTTTGCTAGTTTACGGTCCTCCACTCGCCAACACAAACTTTTCGCGTAACATACATGTGCACGGGTGTTTATTCAAAGCTAACTCTTGAGGCGGGTTTATAAATTGAATGATTTTTTTTTCTGCCGTTTGCCAACTTGCACACTTATACCCATGCTTCTAATCCTGCTCTAGTTGCTAAAAACTTGCCTTCTTGTAGACAAACTCCGGTTTTCTGTCAGCCATGTTCACTTAAAGCCCTGAGCGCGCAAACACGAGTTTTTATGCTTTGCAATATTTATTTTATTTAAATTATTTGTGTACCACTCAAAACCATTTGATTCTTCTTGTTTTACAACCATTTATATACTGTATATGCTAATCTTACACCGCGTGTTTATAATTCACTCACAATAAGAGTAACATTGCGCCACGTTACCATCACCCACAAAACCTGACCTTGATAAATATGTAAAAGATTATGCCTTATAATTATATAGTACTGTATACTGTTACTGTATACTGTACTGTATGATAGGATTTTCAATTCTTAATTTTAAATTCGGTATCGCATACTGTATATGGATAATGCAAATTGCCATTACCCATATACAGTACAGCATATGCTGCTGTATTCGTTTTTTGTTTTGTAAAATAAAATATTTTTATCTAGATCTTGAAATTGAATTATACAAATTTGCATGTATTTTTATGAATAATAAGAGTCGAGATGAATAATTTTATAAGTCTTTATTGCCTATCAATTATAAATAACAATAAATTAAAAAAGATTATAAACTATATTTAATTTATATAAAATATATCAATAAAGCTAAAAAATCGACAAGCCTATTGTTTAATCAATAATATGTTACAATCCAAATAATTGTTGGATTTTTTTATTTTTATTTTAAATTGTATCGATAATTTACATTTTTTAATATAATTAATAAATTGTTTGAATATTTAATAAATTTTTTAACTATATTATTTATATTTTTTTGACATATTATTATATCATCGATAATATATTATCAATTATTATATCAATATAATAATTAATACAAAAAATAAATCCATTAATTACAATGTGATTATTTTTTAAATTAATTTATTTAATTTTATATCTTATGATAGTTATATAATATAAAAATTTGATCTTTTTATTTATTTATTTGAAAAATTTTAAATAAATAATATCTTGTAATTGCCAAATTATGTATATTTTTTAAATGCTAAGTGAGGTCTTTTTCAAGTCATTATTAATTAAACATAATAAATTTAATACATTATATACAAAATCAATAAAGTATGAAATATATGATAATACATATTGACCTGTCACCATAAGCAAATATATCATTGAAAAAACTTAAAAAGAAAAACCTGAGAAACTATTTGCTACAAAAAAATAAAAAAAACATTTTGGACAAGATCACCAATTGTAAAAAAAGAGTAATAGAAATTTGGTTAAGGAGAAAAATAAAAATTAATAGTATATATAATGGTCTATATGCTACTTAAATATAAGTAAAACATATAATTAATGTTTTATAAAGAGAAAATATTATAATGGTAATATGTGTTAGGATTTAGAAGCATATTATCTATAAACTAACAATTTCTTCCACAGAGCACAAACCAATTATGTCTACCTAGATTACTATTTTCTTTTTAATAGCTGGGCGCGACTCCAGCAGCAGTAAAGAAGCACTAGCTTAAGAATCCAGATTACAGGGTGTAACTTCCTAGTATTTTACTTTCACTTATAATAAAAGTATTTTACTTTTATTTACATTAGTTAGGCTTTGGCTACTTTTTTTTTTCAACAATAGCATTGCTACTTGTGAGTTACAACTTCATTATTGAGATAATAAATAGTTATATGATTAGTAAATAAGTATTGTGATTGAGATATATATAAGTTGGATAACTGGAACCTGACCTAATTACTTGTTTTGTTGTTTGAAAACATATAAAGTAAAGATTATTAGAACTTACTTAAGGTATAGGTCATGTACTCTCTCAATTTGATAAGTTATCAGATCATTTTATTGTTATAATTGTTGTATTGTTATGATTGATATTGTAGTTTAGTATAGGAATTTTTGTTAAAAAAAAACTAGTTATAAATAAGTTTGAACAGGTTTGATATTGTTGTTAAGTATAAAGAATTTTATTAATCATTTGTAAAGTATAAATCTTTGAATGGAATGAACTAATTATAGTTTTTGAGTAAATTTGAAAAAAGTATAGAGAAGTGTAGAAATATAATATAGTATTGATATTTAGATAGAGAGAAAAAAAATAATAAATTTGCAAAGGTTATGTTAAAACAAATATTAGATCCAGTAACTATGTTTGAATATGTTGTTAAGATTAAATTTGTATTGTAAAGAAAGAAAGATAAATAAAAAAGCAATTATTATAATCATAAAACTGAAAATATCTAAAAACAAAAAATTATGAAAAAAGACTATTATAAGCCTTTTCCTATACAATTAAGAGCTAAAGAAAACTTCTAATTTGCTTAGGTCTTGATCAGAGATTCCATCCTAATACAATTATATTTCTTAAAGTCTTTATGTCCTTTGAGTTTAAAGTTTATTGCCTTAAGGAATAAAAAGAAGAAAACATTTCTTGAAAAAGAATTTCCTAAAAAAAAAATTTTCAAAAAATCAATAATGAATGGGTAAGAGTTTTTTTTTGCCAAATTATATATTAATAATCATATGTTTTTATTTATATTTAAAAAATAATTAATCATATTATATATATACATATATATATTTTTAGTCATAAAAGGACATCAGATGCAAAACTTTATTGATATATAAGATTATACTCAAGTTACATCAAACATTTTTACATATAATATTATATAAATTAATATTAACCTATCTACAATGCTAACTATTACTATCCTTGGCATACTTAATGTACTTTAGATTAGTTTTAGTGCTGGATAGTTAATGTCCTTCCAGAATTAATATAAGTACTTGCATTTTGAGTAATTTACTGCTTGGGTCTGTTTGTGGATTTATTGTTTCTATGATTAGTTCTATTAGAGATAACTCCTCTAGAGAGTTCTATTGTGTAGTGGTTCTATTATTTCTTGTGGTTATATGGGATGGCCACTTCATTTAATTCCTGAAGCTATTGAGATATTGACTGTTGCCAACCTGGGTACCCAAATTAGTGTATATAGTAGTGCTAAGACTTTATTTACAAATTTGGCTTGGCTTTTTACTAATAGGTGAAAATCTATTTCTGTCATTCTACTTGTGACTTTGTTCAGTTTTGACCTTCTTTCCAGACTTAGTCTTTGTATTTGATTGTTCACATTGACTGATTTCTTTTTTGAGTTGCTTTTGTTTAAGAGCTTTATTAAGCTTTTCTTAAGTTTGATTTCAATTTCTTTGTAAGCTTATATTAAGGATCCTAACGATTCTCTTCGATTCTGTATTCGATTCTCAAGTTTATATTAAATTTAATAGGTGGGGTATACCACACCATCATTTTTAATAGTGTTCCGAATCTCATGCGATTCTGTTCGATTCTATTCAATTCCAATTTTCGGAACCATAGCTAGTATACTTTTGTAGTACTCAAAAATATGTTTCTGGATCTCTGCTTTGGTGAGATATCTGGAACACTGGTTATCTTCATATGTGTTGGGATACCTTTCGTAAAGGAGTTGTCTGACAGGAAGGTTCTACTAATCATTTTTATCCTGAAGGCTAGTAACAAGAAGCAATTTACCTTGTCTTTTTTAATAAGAAGTTTGTTCGCTTTTGTTAGAGTCTGGAGATTAGATATTTTTATGCTAGTGTTCCATCTTTTTCCAATTGAAGAACTATTCATAATGTCCGTAAGTCTAAAGATGTGCTGCACTTTTTTGATCCACATTACAGAGCTGTAACTCCACTTGTTTTTAATTCTTGGTCCTGTGATATAGTCTATTGGCTCTGTTATATTGTTAATTCCTATAATTAATTCGATATCTTGCTGTTCTAGAAGAGTTGGATTCTTTTCTAGCCTTAGCTTGATATTTTTCTGACTACAAATGATGTTGATACTTTCAATTAAAAAGCTATATAGTGTTTTAACTCTTTGGTTGAAATATTTTGACATTTTTAATTCAATTTTCCTGGGTATGTTAATCAAGATGTATGATTAGTCATTTGCTGCTCCTACCAGATCAAGAATTCCAAGGAAAATGTTAATTAGTTGTGAATTGTTGAAGTAGAATGCCATACTTGTGTTGTGTCCATATACCTCTAAAAGCTCTTCTTTTGCCACCAAATTAAACTGGAAAAATAAGTAATTTAGGTTGATGACCTGTTTGACATCTTCTATTGTATTAGAATTTAGGCAAGC